CCTGCCATCCCACTGATGATGACGAGCATGGGGACGACCTTTGCCCCGATCAGCACTGTAGGATCGATTGGCATGATCCCAATCATGTCAACCCCTACTCCTACGCCGACAACAACAATGTTCCCAGGCTCGATAACAACGCCTGGTGGAGCTTTCACGCCATACCCCTCAGCCTGGGCTCAATTTGCTGCTGACCCGGCAAATGCTCAGGCTTTACAGGGCTATCAACAGGTGATGGCCATGATACAACAGGCAGGGGGCTTCATGCCATTTGCCTATCCTAGCATGACGCCGCCAATCATGCCACCTCCGGTGTCGACCCCGTCGACATTTGTCCCTAGGATGGTCCCTATACGCCCGGTGAATCTGACGGGGACCATGAATGAAGCAGCACCCTCAAATGTCCATGAGGTCGATGAGGCGGAGCAAGAGGCGGCCCGCAGGAGGAAGGGTAAGGCTATAGCCAAACCCAGCAAGACCCGAGATTCGGCGTTCAAATGCCTAGGGGACAATGAGGATGGGTCCCGCAAGTCTGCCAAGCTACGTCTTGGTCCTGAGATGGGCCGGACTAGCGCAATGGAAAGACTTGGAGGGAATCGTCCCACCCAATCTCGTCGTTCTAGGGAATCTGAGACGATTCACCTAGACGAGGAGGAAGCTGAAAGCCAACCCAGGGCATCGGCATATACCAGGCTCTCATATGATGAGGATGACCTGGACAAGATAGGGAGCGTAGCAAGAAAGCTACGTGCCCTGGAGGAAAAGGTGGACGAGAAGGCAGGAGCAAAGAAGTACACCCTAGCCAAATCACCCTTTTCAGCCAGGGTACATGCACAAAAATTGAGGCGGAAGGTCAAGCTGGACGTGGAGAAATTCACTGGAAAGGTGGATCCAAATGTCCACCTTGACACCTTCCACAATGCAGCACAAATGGCCGGATGCACTGATGCTGAGGAGTGCTTGCTCTTCTTCTCATCCTTGAGAGGGAGGCCTGTGGAATGGTTTAACGGCCTTCCCCATGGCAGGATTGGGTCCTTTGAGAAACTTGCCGAAGTTTTCCGCAAGAAGTACCAGGACAACTGCATTAAGAGGAAGAAGTTCACTTACCTTAACACGGTGGGGCAGAGGAAGAAGGAGTCCTTGACTCAATTCTTAACCCGCTGGAGGGATGAGGTTGACAAGGTAGAAGAGATGGATGATAAGACGGCCATGTCTTTATTGATGAATGCCTTCCAGTCGGGTGACCTCTACACTGAATTTTGTAGAAGGCCACCCTCCTCTTATCAGGAAGCCTATAATACGGCATGGGAATACGCCGAGGCAGAGGTCCTGAACAAGAGCAAGCGAGAGCTGGAGGAAGGCTATACAAAGGCGAAATCTGACAAGCCGAAGAAGGATGACCAGACGAGAGGGTCCAAGCCAAAGGCCACATATGACGGGTCCATCCACCAAATAAGGGATGAGAAGAAAGGAGAACAACACAAGCGGCCTTGGATAGAGAAGTGGTGCACCTACCACCAATCCGACTCCCACAACACGATAGATTGCCGGAATGTGAGGGTCGTGCTCAGGGAGATGACCTTGAAAGGGGAATTGGGTGAAATATTCGTTACGGGGCTTGAGGAAGACCCATAGGCGAGTACTTGAATCCACCCACATGAATATGAGCAGGGAAAGATGAGAGGGTGGATAAGATGTGGTCAAGATTGCTAAGCTTGCTGTAGACGGATCAGTCTTGATGGCTAGGACTTGGACCGTTGCATGGGCTGATAGCAAAAACAAAAAAAACAAAAAAGAAAAAAGAAACCCTTGAGATAGGGGCCTTGATGTTGAGGTATCGCCTTGAGACAGGCTGGATCCGGAAGAGGATTCGCATCCATACTTACATGGATCCCTACCGACTTTTTAGTCGGGAAGGGTTAGAAAAGATGCCAAAAAAAAAATATTACCGTCTTGTATGAGCCATCCTTTGTGGATCGGAATGTCTAGGGAAGACTAGAATTTCCGAACACATAATATATGAACGTGCAGGATTGGATGAGGGCTGGTTCTCACCAGCATACCCCCATGTGGGAAGATTAGGTTGGCTAGGTCAACCTAATAATTAGAGAATGGCACATTAAAAGACTTAAAACCTGGAAGAGGGGCCCTGGAAGAAGGGTGTTGCCTGGAAGAGGGCTGAACCTTGGAGAGGGTTCGCGACCATAGGACATGGTCAAAATCTCCAAAGAAAAGGTCGGGTCTTGATGTCGAGACTTAAGACGAAAGCCGTTTTGAACATTCGATCGAAGTTTGATCAAGGTCGGGGTAGAACACGACAGACAGGCCAGATGGATATAAGAAGAGGGCATGGTCAAAAGTGACCGGTCACTTCTTGATGTTCTGGAATGACCTGAAATGGCGAATGGAAAAATCCAAAATTTGACCGGTCAACTTTGAGAAAAGTGACCGGTCACTTTTTTTAGTTGGCGGATTTGATGAAATCAGATAAGTCTGGGAAAATATT